GCAGCCGCAGAGTGGCCCTGGCCTGTGCGGCCGGAGGGGACAGCAGGGACAGCACAGCAGGGACAGCAGGCACAGCAGGCTGGCCGGCAGCGGCGGCGGCGCTGGCGCTTTCCCGTAGCCCCGAGCAGCGGGAGGATGGAGCCAGCACAGGAGCACTGGGTGGGGCTCTGGCTCTTTTTTGGATGCGCTGCGATCCAGCCCTGCTGGAAGGGAGCTGATTCCAGCCAAGGCCGCGGCTCCCAGCCCGTGTCTCTGCTGTCCCCCCAGGTGCCCGGAGCGGAGGACCAGACCGCCCTGTCCCTGGAGGAGTGCCTTAGGCTGCTGGAGGCCACCTTCCCCTTCGGGGACAACTCCGAGGTGAGCCCCCGGGGTGGATCCCCAGGCTCTCGCTGCGCTTTCGGTGCCTCCCGTGCTTCTCCCGCAGCAGCAAATTGGGTTTAGCTGCTCCAGGAGGCTCCAGGCCCCCTGCGAAACCACGCGGGGAGGGGGGGCCGCGGCTAATTAAAACCTCCTGGCTTTGCTCCTCGTTAGTTCACAGGAAAGCGGGCGGGAAGGGCGCTGGGCTGCGGGTGGCTGAATCCCTGAACATCCCTGAACATCCCTGAACATCCATGTGCATTCCCGAGCCCCCATGCCTGGGAATCCATCCCTGAGAATCCCTGAACATCCCTGTGCATTCCTGAGCCCCCAGCCCTGAGAATCCCTGTGCCTCCCTGAGAATCCATCCCTGAGAATTCCTGAAAATCCATATGCATCCCTAGGCATCCATCCCTGCTCATCCCCGAGTATCTCTGAACATTCCTGAGCATCCATCCCTGAGAATCCCTGAATGTTCCTGAGAATCCCTGAGTGTCCATCCCTGAGAATCCATCTCTGAGAATCCCTGAATGTTCCCATGAATCCCTGAGAATCCATCCCTGAGCGTCCATCCCTGAGCATCCTTGAAAATCCCTGAATGTTCCTGAGCATCCCTGAGTGTCCATCCCTGAAAATCCATCCCTGAGAATCCCTGAATGTTCCTGAGAATCCCTGAGTGTCCATCCCTGAGAATCCATCTCTGAGAATCCCTGAATGTTCCTGAGAATCCCTGAGTGTCCATCCCTGAGAATCCCTGAATGTTCCTGAGAATCCCTGAGTGTCCATCCCTGAGAATCCCTGAATGTTGCCATGAATCCCTGAGAGTCCATCCCTGAGCGTCCATCCCTGAGCATCCTTGAAAATCCGTGAATGTTCCTGAGCATCCCTGAGTGTCCATCCCTGAAAATCCATCCCTGAGGATCCCTGAATTTTCCCGTGAATCCCCGAATGTTCCCGTGGATCCCGGAGCGTCCCCGAGGTGCCAGCCCTGACTCCCTGCCGTGCTCAGTTCCCAGCTGCGGATGTCTCGGCCCTGAGCGAAGCCGTGCCCGGGCAGAGCCGGGCCCCGGGCGGCCCCCCGAGCTTGCTGTCCCCTCTGCTGGCCGAGACCGAGTCGCCCTTCGACCTGGAGCAGCAGTGGCAGGACCTGATGTCCATCATGGAGATGCAGGTGAGCTCCGGGAGGGGCGGGAAGGGCCTCGTCCCTCCGGGTGCGGCCGCGGGAGCTCGGCTCCTGGCCGGCGCGGTGAGGCCGCGGTGAGGCCGTCCCCGGTGCCGGAGCTCCCCCAGCGAGCCGTGCCCGTCTCTTGCAGGCCATGGAGGTGAACAGCACGAGCGCCGAGAGCCTCTACGGCGGCAGCGGCGGGGACCTGCTGGCGTCCAACTACAGCCTGGCCCCCGGCACGCCCATCAACCAGAACGTCAGCCTGCATCAGGCCTCGCTGGGCAGCTGCTCCCAGGACTTCTCCCTCTTCAGCTCGGACATGGAGAGCCCCTCCATGGCGGGCGGCTCGGCCCTGCTGCAGCTGGCGCCCGACAACTCCACCGGCCTCAACGGCACCTTCGGCTCCACCAACCTGAGCGGGATCTTCTTCCCGCCGCAGATGAACGGCACGGCCAACGAGACGGCCGGGCCCGAGCTGCCCGACCCCCTGGGGGGGCTGCTGGACGAGGCCATGCTGGATGAGATCAGCCTGATGGACCTGGCCATCGAGGAGGGCTTCAACCCCGTGCAGGCCTCGCAGCTGGAAGAGGAGTTCGATTCCGACTCAGGTCTTTCCCTGGATTCCGGCCACAGCCCCGCGTCCCTCAGCAGCTCCGAAGCTTCGTCCTCGTCGTCCTCTTCCTCCTCATCCTCGTCCTCCTCCTCGTTTTCCGAGGAAGGCGCCGTGGGCTACAGCTCGGACTCGGAGAACGTGGACTTCGAGGAGGCGGAAGGGGCGGTTGGCTACCAGCCAGAGTACAGCAAGTTCTGCCGCATGAGCTACCAGGACCCGGCGCAGCTGCACTACCTGCCTTACCTGGAGCACGTCGGCCACAACCACACCTACAACATGGCCCCGGGCGCGCTGGACCCCGAGGAGCCCAAAGCGCCCGGCGCCGGCAAGAAGAGCGGCAAGGAGAAACCGTCGGAGCTGCTGGACAAGCAGCTGAGCCGCGACGAGCACCGCGCCAGGGCCATGAAGATCCCCTTCACCAACGACAAGATCATCAACCTGCCCGTGGAGGAGTTCAACGAGCTCCTGTCCAAGTACCAGCTGAGCGAGGCGCAGCTCAGCCTCATCCGCGACATCCGCCGGCGCGGCAAGAACAAGATGGCGGCGCAGAACTGCCGCAAGAGGAAGCTGGACACCATCCTCAACCTGGAGCGCGACGTGGAGGAGCTGCAGCGCGACAAGTCCAAACTGCTCAGGGAGAAGGTGGAGTTCCTCAAGTCCATCCGGCAGATGAAGCAGAAGGTGCAGAGCCTGTACCAGGAGGTGTTCGGGCGGCTGCGCGACGAGCAGGGCCGGCCCTACTCGCCCAGCCGCTACGCGCTGCAGTACGGCAGCGACGGCAGCGTGCTGCTGATCCCGCGCGCGCCCGCGCCCGCCGAGCCGCAGCCGCGGCGCCAGGAGCGCAAGCAGAAGGACAGGAGGAAGTGAGGGCGGCGGCGGAAGGGAGAGCTGGGACGAGGGCCGAGCCTGGAAGTGCTTGCGGAGGGAACTTTGATGCCTTCTTATCCGATTCTGTCTTCTCCAAGCGCACGCGGCGCCGGCGGCGCGCGCCGGGGACTCTGCGGGAGCGGCCGTCCCGACACCGAGGGGACGGGGACGGAGCCCACCCCAAGCCCAGCTGCCACCGGCCACCCCGGGGTGCTGGGAGAGCAGGGACGAGCTGGCATCGCTGCTGGGGAGGTTGGCACGAGGTGGATAAAACGTTTAAAAAAACAA